GAAAGCGCTATTTCTAGTTATTTTTAGTAAGACGGAGCATTCGCGACTGGCGACGGAGTATTTGCAACTTATTGTAGAACGGGCCTTAGAAACAGTTAGAAAAGGAAGAACTTTGAAAGAGAGAGACAGCTACTGTTTGTCGATGAGATCATCATGCTCTTCCCTTCCTTCATCGCCCCTCGCCATCAAGCTGTTTCTAGCTCCCCCCTTATTTCATTGTCCCTCGCCCACAACCGGTTTTCCTGAGGTAACCTTCTCTCTATAGATCTTGTGCTGGGTCTAGTTATATATGTCTGTTGAACGCACCCATTGTGTCCGACATATTGGAATAACTTTTCCATGTTTTACTTCTATTCCGATAGAGGTACTAGTTTCACTCTCTTGTTAACCCTTAGTAACGAACTCATGTAAATAAAGAGAAATATAAGTTGTATTAGCAATGTGTATAAATAATAATAATAAGGTTATATAAATATAATAATAATAATAATAATAATAACGAAGTAATTGACAGACGCTGTTAAATTTTATTGATAAATTTTTCTTAGATTTATGAACAATTATTTTGATTTTTCTTATTACAATGCTGTGCTTGTTGTAATAGTGCAACTTCTCTTGCTGGTAAATAATGAATATCATTACTTGCTCTGTATATTTTATACTATATGTTATTGTTATTACGTATCTTTTACTTGTAGGCAACGAATATATAACGAAGGAAAATAAAATGTCTGAGGCAGACATAATATTTGATGAGGAACTTTCTCCAGATTTATTCTCAGATATAGAATTGTCAACAAATGTGAACAATACTGTTAATTCAGACTGTAAGCATTTATCTGTATATTCTTTATATTATCTCTTATATTATTTGTAATACTCAGATATTTGACTTTATAAAGCAAGTTCCATGTCTATTGGTATTAATGAACCAGAACCTTCTGATGATGTACCTGAATGGAAAGGTATGAGCATGGATGAAATACGTAAAGGCCTTGGCATGTATGAATACCAAGAACATCCACCAATTGTTGTTTCTTCTCATCATACAGTGTTATTTAAGGTATAAATAGAATGTACATTTTTTAAATTAGTAATATTGTTAGAATGTTTGTGTATATATCTATTAAATATCATTAAATAAATTAACATATATATCATTAAATAAATATATATATTTTTTGGTTAGTTGCCATTATCTACATGTGGACCACCAAAGCCGTATCCAATACAACAAATAGATAAATGGAATCCAAATTATGTACGAATGCCATGTTCTATACATAGTTTATATCCAATAGAACAGGTATATATTTTTATTTATAATGTATTTTTTTGTAATATAGTGATGATTATTATTTAATAAAATATTTTGTTTTTTGTCAATAATTTAGTTTACTAATATCTTTTATAATGCATAAATAATTCATAATATTAATCAGATTTTATTTTAGAGAGGTGGAAATCGCTCTTATCGAAATAGATGGGAGATGATTCAAGAAGCTTTGTTAAAGAGCATTCTTTCCAGCCAACAATTAGAAGATGCTATACTCTCGTACAATCAAATATATGCACAACGTTGGAATTTTGCAGCACTCCATCACTTTTTCTCAGAGGTATATCGTGTAATACTTATATACTACAATTGGATTATATCATTTCAAAGTTTTGATTAACAAGCAATTTTGAATGAAGGTCCTGGACTCAGAAGAAAGAACCGTCTTCTTTGAAACTTTAATGCCAAAGATAGTCCAACTTGCTTTGCAACTTCCTGTGTTGTTAACTGGTGCAGTACCTCTCTTGAAACGCCATATCAATACTTCTATTAGTTTAAGTCAATTGCAAGTAGCTTCGCTACTGGCAAATGCATTTTTTTGTACATTTCCTAGACGCAATTCCAGTAATCCACAATCGGAGTATGCAACGTATCCGTATATTAATTTTAATAGGTAATGCTTTAAATAATTGTGTTTTACATAATATTTAGTTGATGAAATGTAAGAAATTTCTTTTTTAAATGTGTTTTGGGCATAAATATACTTTCTTGGTCACATATTTCAGACTGTTTGCTGCTTATAGTGAAGAAAAACATAATCAATGTGAGTCAGTGATGGAAAAAATCAAATGTCTTCTTCATTACTTTAGAAGGGTAACATCTAAAGGTGAGCACATTATAATCACAAATTTTTTTATATATAATATATATTTATACAATTTATCAATATAGTATAATTTGACATAATATCTGACATAAGAATCTGAATCACACTATGATTTTCACATAGAGTAGCACCTGAAGGTATAATAACAATTGAACGGCGTTACATTCCACTGGAAAATTGTCCAAAATGGAACTTGCAAGATAAGAAATTGCCACCGTTGCACGTAACGAGTAAGGGGACCATTGAAAATGAAGGAGCAGGGCTGCTCCAAGTGGACTTTGCAAATAAGTAAGTTTGCTATACAATCCTGGTGTATTATACAATGAAACAACCAAAAGGTTTATGGAGTATTGTGTAAAATTAGCAGATAGGATGACAAAATAAATGAATATGGCGAAACTTGTGAAATTGTTATTAATTTTATTTTTTATTTTGAACAGATACATAGGCGGTGGTGTGCTGGGCCTAGGTTGTGTACAAGAAGAAATACGATTTGTCATATGTCCAGAACTTATGGTTACTATGTTGGTTACGGAAGAGTTAGACGATACTGAAGCGCTCATCGTTAGCGGTATTGAACGATATAGTAAATATGAAGGTTACAGTAATACTTTCAAATGGAGAGGAGATTTTGTTGACGAAACACCCAGAGACAATAGCGGCAGGCGTATGACGTCAATCGTCGCCATTGATGCCCTTTATTTCAGACAGCCCTTGCTACAGTTCAATATGGACAACATAACCCGTGAACTTAATAAGGTTTTTAATTGTAATATAATTATTCTACAGGCCAAAATAAGTATAAAAGTTAATGAAAATTGTTTCCAAACTGTTATATAAACTCACAAAATAGTTTTATTCATAAGTGTCCATTTTCTAAAATTATATGCATAAATTGTGTGTGTGTGTGTGTGTGTGTGTGTGTGCGCGCGCGCGTGCGTGCGTGCGTGTGCGTGTGTATTTTTTTTTTATTTATGCATATAATAGTTATATATAATATCTTAAAGGATATTACAAATTATATATATAAATAATGTTTTCACAATTTATTCCTATTCATAATAATAGACCTATAATGCCACTCCCTACAATCTCTTGTTTCAAAGTGACAAAATATATTTTCTACAGGCTTATGTTGGATTTATTGGATCTGATATTTATAAGAATAATCTGTCCGCCATTGCAACGGGAAACTGGGGATGTGGAGCATTTCGTGGAAATCCGAAATTGAAAGTATTGATACAATTAATGGCTGCTGCAGTTGCAACTCGATCCATGGTTTACTTTACTTTCGGAGACACAAAGTTAAGGGATGATGTGGCAGCGATGTATGCGCATTTAGTTCAGCATGATATCGATATAGGTATTGACTTGGTTTATTTAAATATTGATATGTGTAGAAATTATGGCCGTTATATTTCTTAATATATTAATTTTCAGCACGGCTTTACTCAATGCTATCTGAGTATCGTCGAGAGTCTGCATCGAATATTCATTCGGATTTTTATTGTTTCTTGTACAACAGAAGTAGGATAAAACTATCGAGCACATATTTCCCAGCAAAGAGTGAAAGCTCTTTGGCAAAGATTCCTGCCAAATATTTGACAGACACATTATTTAAAAGAAACAAAATTGTGAGCTCAAGTAAAGATGTTGACAACAAGCGATATCTTTATTTTAAAACTAAGGAACAGAAAATGACGGAAGAGGAAAAGATAATTAATTGGCTAGCGAGTTGTGATGACGATAGCGACGATAATATTAAATTAAATATAAAGGATGCATTAAATGAAAAAACCAAGAGTGATCCAAAGGAAACAAGTGATTGTAAAAATAACGATTTACATGACAATTGTCTTATAGATAACACCGTTGAAGCAATGAACAAAAAATGTACTAATATAGTATCAAATAGATCAGACAACAATGTCAACTCGTTGAATCTAAAAAAGTCGATTACCCAATGTTCGATTGAAGATCAAGATGCATCAAAAACAAAATCTGGGTTATTATTGAGATCTACAGAATCAAATGACAGTAAATCCATTAAGCTTTCAAAAGATCATTCTCCAGAATTGTATAAAAAAAAATCATTATTGAGGAAGGATGGCCAAAGGAAGATCTCAGATTTTTTCCAAAAAATATAAATACCGATAATAATTATTTTAACTGAATGCCAATATGCTTCTGCAAGTTTGTTTGTTATTATAAACATTTTGTATAATCTATAATTATGAGCAAAATTACAAAGTATATATAATATAAGTTAAACTTTGTGTAAAATGATTATTTAAGTACCTTAACATTTTCTCACATTTGTTATCTCATAGTTTATGTGAAATATTATAGGGCAAGTGATACAACTTTGAATGCGCAAATAAGTATCGGTATTTTCAAATTATACAGTTTGTTGTATTTTCAAATAATTAGATAAAGAGGATAAAAGTTTGCTTTGAAAATGTAGTCTTTAAAAGCCATGCGGCGGCGATCGACGCTGGTCACGTGACCGCTTATTGACGTATCGCGTTAACCGTGGGCCGAGAGAAGTCAAATACGAAGATGGCCGCTGCCACTGAAATATTAAAGTCTCCCGCGGTGCGAACCGACATGATCTGCCGACAGAAAATGTAGAAATTTTCAAGCCGGAAGCACGTTTCAGGTAATTTTTGGTTGTGTAGCCATAATCGGTAACGCGGCCCGCGCACATCAACGATTATTTCGTCAACGATTATTTCACTACACAGGTGATATTCGTGGGCGGTTTCGCGACGTGCACCCCTGTATGCGTGTATACGCGCGTGTGTGATGTGTGTATGTTTGTGTGTGTAGGGAATCGCGCCGCGATGTGACATCTCGTCGATTTGACATTTTAAGAACAGGCGAACGGACGTAAATATCGAGCCAGATGCTCGTGACGGATCTGTATGCATTGACCGCCGAGTAAATAGACTGTCACGCACGGCCAGCCGCTCGAAGTCATTGCTCGTTTCGCACGAAGCCGTGCCATTTTCACGCGCTCCATGCTGTCCGATATGTGTATTACAACACCCGCAATGTTAGCACGAGTGTTCGAACATATTTGCTGATGGCCATACGTTATTATGTGTTGTTCCCGCACAACGCGCATTACATTCTTACATGTTTTTCGCTGGCTGGAAACATTAAATCGCGACTAAGCATACCGCTCTTCGCTGTTTGACTTGCAGCATCGAATTTTGTGTGCGTGTGTGTGTGCGTGTGCGCGCGCGTGTGTGTGTGTGTATGTGTATGTTTCATTTTGCGTCGTTCTTTTAAACACGTTGTACTTTTTCGTCAATTCATTAAAATAACTTATTCATATTGATCAGTTTTGTATTCATCAGTTATCTTGGAAAATTAAATTTATATTGTTTTTTTTCCCTTTTTTTTTTCAAAATTTTCTTGTATGTATGTATTGTTAATATTTATCTATAATTATTACCGCTTTTTATATTTTCTTTACAAATAGAAGTTTTGATATTATTTGAAAACTATGAGTATCACTTGTAATACTAAAAGAAGTTTTATATAATAATACCATAAATTTTTCTTATATTATAGTTAATGTTAGAAAAGAAGTGTGGACAGTAATAATAAAGTCTAAACATTTTCAGCAAATTTCAAGTATGAACATAATGCGCAAATTACGAGGGGGCACCAGTATTGGAGGTATGAGTTCAAGCGGTACTGGTGGTTTAGACGATTGTGCGGGGGGTGCAAATTCTCAGCACACCGCTTTGGGGCTTATGCATTTAAAAAAACTATTCTCTGAATATACTCATCCATCGCATCCCCTTTCCGACGCTGAACGTGATGACAAATTGTATAACATGTTGCCATTATTTTGCAAGGTAAAGCATATAAAACTCATTTATTTTATTTTCTTTCAAAATAGAGAAAATGTTTAACTATTTTTTGGTGTTAATTAAAAACAGATCTTTTAGAGAGAATATTTCTTCTACATTTTATGCCTCTAGGTATTTGGATCTAGTCCATCAGGAGATATGAATGAAAAGTTTTGGGATATTTTGGCATTCACTCAACAAGTATCAAGACTGATGGTATCTGAAATTAGGAGAAGAGCAAGCAACCAGAGCACTGAGACAGCGAGTTGTGCTATTGTGAAATTTTTAGAAATTGAAAATAGCGAAGAGTCGAGTAATGGCTGGATGTTGCTGTCCGCATTGAATTTGCTGGCAGCGGGTGATACCTCTCTGATACAAGTGAATTGAATTTTTTAATTTCTTTATTACATTTCTGTGTAGAGATTTTTTTACACTGTTACATTTTTTTGTAGGCAATGACTGCTGCCTCAGTTCCATCAACTTTAGTGAAATGTTTATACTTATTCTTTGATTTACCCGAGATGAATGAGGAAGATGCTGATATTACAGATACAAATAGCGAATTTACTCCTAGAGAGCGTAGGATACTGTTACAAAAAATATTCGTTCAGGTGATAGCAATTTTCTAGAAGCACAATTTCCTATTTTTTTCAACGCATTCTCTATCTTCGCCCTTTTTTTCTGAGAGATTAATTTATTTCTTCGCAATTTGTAGTTATTGGTGAGATTATGTAGTCATCCGTATCCTGCAGAAGAACTCGCTCGTAAAGATGATCTTACCTTATTATTCTCAGCAATAACAAGTTGGTGTCCACAGTACAATATTATGTGGCGTAAAAGTGCCGCCGAAGTTTTGATGACATTATCTCGACATGGTCTTACACAGAATGTAGTAGCTTATATTCATAGTAAGCTTAACACTTTATATTACACTTGTTGGATTATGATCAAATTACTATTTACTTGATGTATCAATTTATCTTATAGATAAAGGATGCATAGCACTCTGTATCGATAATATGCAACGTGTACCTGAACTGGCACCATTAGAAGTTGTAGAAATGTTCGTAACAGTGTTCTGTTTTCTAAAAGATTCTAGTGAGGTTTCTCAAACGCTACTAGATGACTTTCGCGCTTGTCAGGGATATATCTTTTTGTCTGAATTTCTGTTAAAGTAAGTAATGTTGATTGTGAAATATAATAATTAAAGATTAATAATATATTTATAAAGCACAAAAAAAAAAAAACATTTCTGTGTACAGACATGCGCCATCAAGATTAGAGCAGGATAATAGAGCAGAAGCACAAGATGCTATTCGAAATTTGGTACTAATGTTAGCATCTTTAACAATGTGTGGTCATACAGAGCTTAAACCAAGTCAAGCTAGTATGGGATCCTTATTTCAAATGCTTGGATTTACCTTACCACAACCTAGTAACAGAGGTAACTTTACAAGTAAAAATGTGCATGCATGTATATGAAACGGCTGTGCAGGGAATATTTTATATTTCATTTTGCTGTGTCTACAGGAGGAAGCGTTCGAAATATTCAAGCATTCCAAGTATTGCAATCTGTATTTGTAAAATCCAATTCACCGCTTTTGTGTTGTACTATATTGGACGCAATATCCAGCGTGTATCACAGCGATAATGCGAATTATTTCATTCTTGAGGGTCAAAATACCTTGTCGCAATTTGCAGAAAAAATTTATTTAAAAAATCTGGAGATACAAGAAAAATTTTTTCAGTTGTTGGAATTTATAGTTTTTCAACTTAATTTTGTTCCGTGTAAGGAACTCATATCTCTGTCCATTTTACTGAAAACGAACAACTCAGTCTCTTGTAGTATTATGTGTATGGAAACTCTTCTTAATATACTCAGGTAAAGATGTATAATTTGAGAAAGCTTTATCTCAAGAATTTAACGCAATAACACAGGAATGTCCAAGCAAGGAATGTGATTTTAAATATTGTCGCTCGTTTCAGACACAACACTATATTTAAAGATGTTTATAGAGAAGTCGGTATGCTAGAAGTTTTTGTGACTTGTCTTCATCGATATGCGACATTACTTAAGGATAAGCAAGCTGCAATTGATCAAGGATTAGGTAATCTTTGCATTCATATGCATTTATATGCAAATTTTTGGGTGCAAGTTTGGAGAATTTGACGTGATTTCAGAATACATAATATGCCCGGAGGATGAACGGTTGGGTGCCTTAGTAATGGAGGCTTTAACAACACTATTAGCAAGTAATGTTCAAAATGCGAATGTCTTTCGAGAATGTGGAGGCGCGCGTTGCGCTCATAATCTAGTGCCCTATATAGATTGCCGGTACCAAGCACTTGGTATTGTCAGAGAATTAATACTCAGTGCGGGTGGCGATGATGATATGGCTACACTGTTGGGAGTTATGCATTCGGCACCTCCTAATGCCTTGATACTAAAGACACATATATTAAAAGTGAGTTTCGCTCTATCTCTATACTTATTTGACAGATTTGTGAAAATTATTAACAATGCAAATGCTTTTCAGTCTTTACTAACTTGTTTACGAGAATCGCATAGGACTAGGACAGTTTTCCGCAAAGTTGGAGGCTTCGTTTACGTAATGTCGGTTCTTGTATCTTTGGAGAGTCAATTAGGCCCACAAAGATCCGAGAAGATGGAACCTTGCAATGACATCATCCAAAGGACTGTGCAGGAAGAAAGCGAATTATTAATATTGTTACATGTAGTATTTCATACTATAAGTACAGCAATGCGATTTGAGCCAGCGAATGCTAAATTCTTCCATCATGAGGTACAAATTTAAGACTTGTAATAATTATACTATTATTAATCTGAAATTTATATTACGTAAATACTACGTGATGCTAATTTTGCACAGATTTGTCAATCGAGTTTGTGTGATACTTTACGCCTTCTTGGATGTTTTTCAACGCAAATAAAAATCACTGAGATGGACATGATACCAACTATGAATTATCATAATATGCTGGTATCGTTATTTACTGGGAGCGTATTGGAACCGGTATTTCCAGATGACATGCCAAAAACATTAGGATATGCGTGCTTACTGCTGCGCCTGCTTTACGACGTAGCGCTCGATTCCTTTGACAAACCAAATTTAGCTAACGTAGGGATGAGATCTCCAAGTCATAAACAGAATTGCGTAGAGGTACACTTTTAATTCAAGTATTATCTCAATATTTTAAGTTTTAATATTTTACTCTTTTCAACTAATTTTGTGTATTTCAACAGCAAAAGTCATTTGATTCTCCTGGAAGCGGCAAGAGATGTATTATAAATTCTTTAAACCTAAGCCCACCTGCACCTGAGCCTATTGTAGTTCATCCCGGCATAGTAGTGGGAATGCTTCATTTACTTCCATCCATATCTGAAGCGTCTAATCCGCAAATGGCACTAGCATTACAATTGTACGTGGCGGAGATCATCAAGAGTCTGGTGCGGTCGGAAAGAAATCAGCAAGTCATGTGTGAAGCTGGCATGGCTGGAGAATTGTTATCTATAGGTAGAACCGCTTTGCAAGATGAAACGCATCCGCTTCATCAACCTTTGCAATATATCATAGAGAGACTCGCAGCGCAATCGCTTGAGCCGAGAGATCTAAGGTAAGATTTGAAGTACGTCAGAAGAGAAAATTATATTCGAACGGTCGTCATTTGTAATTTGATTCTTTCAGGGAGTTTCTACGTTTGGGAGATCCGTTGTGTTGCATTTCGCTGGACGATATTGAGCTGAGCAAACCTAAGGGAGGACCAGTTCCTTTAACGCGAATTAAGACGCTGGTGTCAATGACGACGCCCAAAGACTTCAGAGCTCACGGTTCGTGTACCTTGCCACCTTTCGTGGAACTAGATATGAGCGCTGAAGGATTTGCATGTTTGTATCTACCGAGTGTTGCTCCGCAAAGTACTACACCTCCTACAGTTGTTTCTGCAGACAATAGTGTACTGGGAGGCATTGGATCAGGTAAATAACATATTGATCATGATTGCATTCTATTTATTTCTACTATGACAATATAATGAAGCATATTCACAATTCTATTAAATGAAATAATAAATATAATGAAAAATTGATATATTAGGGGTGCTCATAAGTAATGAAGTATTTAAAAAGGAAATAGATTTAAAAAACTATAGAAACAGCTTTTATTTTTTAATCAGTTATATGATTATTATCGATAACAGTTTGCCATCTTGTTAGCAAATTTTCAATTTCTTTCTTGAAGAATTCTTACTTCTTGAAGAATATCTCAGCATGATTTTGGATGCCATTCACTTTTTGACATTTTTTTCTAACAAATAAATATTCTAAAGATCTGAACAAATGATAATCAGATAGAGCTATGTCCATAGACATTTTTTTGCTGCAGCATTTTTTGATAACAAAACCGCACCCAGCGTCGTATGTATTCCTCTGAAGGTTGAGAAATGCTGACATTTTATCTAAAAGAAATGCAATTTGAATTTAATAAAAAGAAATTAAGAGTTAAATACTTGAAGATAGATAGCACACGCGAGAAACACTATTTATATCACACAACTCAAGTAGAAACTGATGAGGACAAAAGACTTGTAAAATATTCAATTACCTACGGGTATCCTTATTATATTGTTGGATTGTTCAATAAGCATTTCGTATTTTTTACGCAGTACGCTTTTACGCAACGTGAAAAAATTGTGATACGAACGGAACGAAATTATAATTTCGGCAAACAAATACGTATTCATCAAACTGCGCTTACGTATTCATCAAACTGCGCTTTGCACGACAAAAAAATAGATTTGTTTTAAAAATCCAAAATTACTTATTACACAATCCAACACAATAATGACAAACATCATCATGATGAATGTCACGTTGCAAATTGTACATATGTATTGTACATATGTATAACGATTGCTATTGCATACAAAGAATTATTTTAGGTGATAGATTATTCCCACCACAGACCGGCTTAACATATAGCACATGGATATGTGTTGACAAGTTTAGCGATCCTAGAACCGATCCTCATTGCGTAAGATTGCTCACTCTGGTCCGCACTCCACAATCCGCGAGAGATTTAATTTGCCTGACTGCTGTTCTTAGCGCGAGAGATAAGGCCATCATTGTTTCTACCCAGGAAACACCTATTCCACAAAGTGAGTGACGCTCTAAAAGTATATATATTAAAGTCGGACGATATAAACGCACACAAATTATTGTGTATTTAGATACAGGCGAATGGGAACCTGAAGGAACAGGGGAATGTGGCGCCAGAGTTTGGTGTCCTGACTTACTTCACGAGGGGCAATGGCATCACATAGCTATCGTGCTAAATCGCGCAGTTCTTAAAAATTCGAGTTTCTCATTATATTTGGATGGACAGCATATCCATAGTCAAAAGGTAATTATCACTGAAATCAATTGATTCGCTAAAGCTCGCGTACAATGTATCGATCTATTTTTGCAGCTTCATTATATCACGCAAGTTCCTGGAGGTGGAGCGGCTAATTTGACTGTGGCTTCTCCAGTTTACGGCTACATCGGTACACCACCCTGTTGGCGCAGATATTCTAGATTGACGTGGAAACAAGGACCTTGCCACTTGGTGGAGGAAGTGTTTAATTCCCAAAATATTGCCACTTTGTTTAAACTAGGACCACATTACATGGGAAGCTTACAAGCTCCACAATTAAGCGGTACTGATATAAAAACGCAAAAAAGATTCTCTATACAATATATAATTTTATAAGTAATAAACATTGATATATATACATTGTTCTAGGTCCTGAACCTCTAACACCTCTTGTAGCTGAAGAAAAGGTTGTGTTTGGATTAAATGCAAAAGCTATGTCGCAATTAACTTTAGCTAAAATTAGGAAGGTGTACAGCCGAGCTGATAATAAATCAATCGCTAAGCAGGTATAAAAATTTGAATTTAAAAAGTATTTTAATTAGAGAAAGAGAGAGAGAGAGAGAGAGAGAGAGAGGAAGGGGGAGTAAGACAAAATTAAACTACATAAATAATTCTATATTAATGTTTAATTATTTTTGCAAACAGCTTGGCATGTCATCCCATGAGAATGCCACACCTATTAGAGTTCTTCATAATTCCGCGGGACATCTTAGTGGCCCAGCCAGAGCATTAGGTGGTGTAGTTGTTGGTTATCTCGGCGTTCGTGTATTTAATCCTAAACCAGTAGCTACTATGATCGACAACGTAGGAGGATGTTCGGTGTTATTAGGTATAATTTAGAGTAACGAATAATAAACGGCACTCGACGCTAAATAATTAGATGAAATTAAAGGTGATTTTATATATATCTCTCTCGAAGGTTTAATAGCTATGGCCCAAGATGTAGAATCTTTGTATGCGGCTGTAAAGGCACTAGTTTGCGTAGTGAGATCGAATCAGGCGGCCCAACAAGAAATGGATCGCAGGAGAGGCTATCAGACCCTGGCTATGTTATTGAGAAGAAAGTGTCCTCTCCTAAACAGCCACATACTGCACTTGACGTTCAGTCTCGTGGGGACAGTCGACAGTGGCAGAGAAACCAGCGCGATTCCTAATGTTGTAGCATTTCAGGACCTTTTATGCGATTTACAAGTGAGTTTGGACAAATTTTTATAACGTAATGCAAAAGGCGTTTTTAACTTGACTGCGTAAATAGCCACGTAATAGAGACAAATAAGAAAAACGCAAGCGAGCGACTAATTAAATAATTATTTTTTAATTGATCAATTTGAATGGTAATAAATTTTATTTAGGTTTGGCACGAAGCACCTGGAGAATTGCTACGATCTCTTCTTGAACACTTGTACGAATTGATAGCGGAGTCTAGTGAGAAGCGAACTAATTTGCGATTGATGAGGGATTTGCAACTGGTGCACAAATTATTGCACATCTTAAGCGAAGTGAAGCTAAACAGCACCAGACAGATCCTTCTGGCACTTCTTAGTATATTATTATGTCAACCACGACAAGCTGATCTGTTATGGTAAACAGTTTTCTTGCGCATTTGCATTACTGTATCCATTATATTCTCTATAACTCTTCTCTCGTTCCTCTTCAGGTTTGGGCAATTTATCGTAGCCACCTTACCGCTGTGTCCTGAAAAACATCTAGTCCTCAGAGAGGGAGAAGGAATTAAGGACGGAGAAGGAGAGAGTATACTTTTACGTAATCGTTGTTTACAGCTTTTACATTCGTTGTTGTTTAATGGATCCAAGATTAATGTAAAGTAAGAAATTGCCACATATATCTGGTTTATTGTTATATACAGCACGAATACGTGCCGATATTAATATGAATGCGTGCGTACATTTGCAGTATGTGCGAGGAAGTAGCCAAAGTTTTGGGCCTAGATTGGGCACTGCTGTTTCTTCAGTCTGGTCTTCACAGCACCACGGTTATCTGGGGTTTACGCATACTTGCGGCAGTATGTTCTGTGCAATCGATTTTGCAGAGATTCAAAGAGGGAACGAGCAATGGTGGCTGGCTGCGGCATATTGATCACAACAAAATGGCACTAGCACTCGGTACATAATAACGATTGTATTTATTGCTTTTATAAGAATTTCATAAATATCGCTTATTAATTTACGAAAGCGTTTTATTGCGATGCGGAATGACTTAATAATTGTAACATATACGCAGTACATGTGGGTTGTCAGCAACAAATGTCTACCGGTGAGGTTAAACCATCCGGACTTCATGTACCTGGATTTCAACATCTAGGCTGGTTACTTCCGCAACATATCGATCTTGTTCCAGAACTCTACTTTCTCTTCATTGCTCTCATGATGGGACAGCCGGTGAAATTGTTACCTGCCGATTCGAAGGTGAAATATTACGTTTTGTATGAAGTAATTTTGTTGTTTTTAATCTCTATAATTGACTGATTGAAAATAATAATACTAACTGTACGTGTTACGATTATGCGATAGCTCGACTTGGATAACGTTTGGAATTTTATGTTTGGAGTCCCGGCAAACCACACACTCTCATCCTTTACTAGTAGAATCAATCTTTGTCCTGAAGCAATGGTCACGTTACTAGTTATGGTGCGAACTATGCTGAATAGTCACTTGAACAAGTAAGTCTCAATGTTCTCACTGGAAAAACCGCGCGTTGCATTTTATTACAATAAATTTATTTTTTTTTTTATAGCCCGGAAACGTTGCCAACATGGTTAAACGATTATCCTGTGACAATAATACAATTCCTGTTCTTCCTTTACCGCAATTTCACCGACTTTATGCAAGTCTTTATGTCTGCGGAAGTTTTGGGTGCCTTAGCTGGAACCTTGTTTCCGAAACCCGCAAGTTCTAGTCAGGATAGTAGTGGTGCTAGTACCCCAGCCGATGAGGTAATTAATTCCACAGAATATCCTTTTCGAAAAGATACTTTGAAGGATATGTTATTTCGATGAACAAGATATTTCATGAAAGTTTTAAAAATAATTCTTACTGCGTTATTTTATCTGGCAAATCTCCTTTGTTTATGCCACTTTGAAAAAGTCTAGCTTATAAATTTAAAAAAATCAGAATATTTCATGAATATCCTGTAGAATAAAAAGTTTTGATATTAACGTTGGATAATTATCGTAGCAGGAACCAGTATTAGTGAGATCGCCGTCGAAAGATGTCGGTCTGACGAATCACCCGGCGAAAAAGTTCGTAATGGACTTTTTCAAAGTCATCATCGTTGACTCACTCTCATTGCCGGTGACGGCAAAGTCACCGGCGATAGATCTTGTCCTGGAAGCATGGCCGGAACATGCATCGACGGGACAGCAAATGCGTTATCAGACAGAGGTGTTGTCTATACTGATGGAACATTTGTTGGCTGCGGATGTGTTGATAGGTGAACAGGCTGCGTTGCCGGTTGTTCCTGGTGGATCGGCCAATAATATAACTACCAACGTTTGTTACGTGGCAGCCAGAATAGTTGACAAATTGTGGCAAGGTAATAGTTTTGTCCATACGCGTTAATTAATATTAACGTTGGGTAACGTTACGATTTGACTTCTCGAATGTAACAGGTGCTTTGACAAAAGATCCGCACGAGGTATTTGACTTTATCGTCAAGCTAATTGGCCAAGCGAAAAGGCGGTCCGGTGCTGTCAGCATGGAAGGTCTTCATCACTGCCTGAATAGGACAATTTTATTCTTATTGTCACGTGCGACCGATTCTATTGCCGATCAAATGGCTGTATTAGAGGCATTACATAAACTTACTACTCATAGGTACGTATACGAACAGGATTTTATTAATTTAACAAATGTGAAATAACCCAAAAGATATATATACGTCAAAGTGATAAAATGATGTGTTGATATATTTATTATTTTTCATAAAAAGATAGTTACAAGTAAATAAAAAGAGGATCGCCGCATGTTACTAGCGATAACATATCAAATTTCGCCGCAATTGCCGAAAAACTATCGCATTTGTTTCACTGGAAAAACTCGTAATTAAGCGACGCGGTAGCGCCAAGTACATAATATAAAGAGTTTTGCCTATATACAGGGGCCGCGGCGCTATCAAGTAGCTTTTCCGGAATTTTTGTTTTTCCCGAAATTCATCTTTTTCATTGCTATCTAACGGCTCATGTCTGCTAACTTACACGTCTCGCGGCCGACTGCGTTTCTCGATACGTCAATAATGATTCCGAATATCACAACACACAATGATAAATTCGTGTGATTATAAAAATCTTGATTAAAAAATATGTAACAACTTGTAATAGATCACATATGGTTGCACGTATGCGTTTTCGTTCAAATAAAGAAAAATTATATAATTCTGACAACGTTATGATATTTCTACAGATTATTAGTATTTGGTGCTGGCAATCATGAATTGGAGTTTATTGGCTGTTTAACGTATTGCCTGTTACAACTGACGGCTGATATAAAGATCATGTTGGATACCAATATGAAAACAACGTGGCACGTTAATCCTCAAGTGGAATCCAGCGACGAGAGATTGACATCTCATCAAGGACACAATTTAATGGCTGTAGCGGCGACGAGAGTTTGGGAGGAGTTGTACGCGTGCAAGAAGCCTGCAATAGAGGAAGTTTTTAAAGTAACTCTACCAGCACCTGTCGGTAACGAACGGGCGCCGGAACTATCGGTCGTGAGAGAACAAGTTCACGAAGCTGCGTCGAAGCTTTGGTTGAATTATGTAGTTTCGGAACGAAGAGCCTCGTACAGAGTTCCTTGGGAATTCCACAACCAAATCCAATCGGTATGTCAAAATTTAATATACAATTGTACAAATGTTGAAAAAAATTTTTAAATGTAAAGTCCGTATATATTTAAACATCATATCTATGTGTATACAAAAAATTATATATGCAGAAAATCCAAAAAGTGACGGGAGGATTGACGAGATTGGCGAGCCGGACGAAGGTGCGAAAGGAGGAATCTGTGCGCGTAAGAATCAGATTGCATCAGAATACGGTTGCCCAGTGGACAGAGCAGCATGTCGCATTAGTCCGGGAACTTGCTGCAGTAAGACGTCTACAACACCAACAGACCAATCTGCACACTCAACGCTACGTATATCAGGTAAGAAATTCCGATTAGGAAACATTCTTTGCAATTTTATTTAATCTAAAAACTTGAAGTTTAGACTCGCAAAATTTAAATCGATGGAGTAACAGGAGGGTCTCAAGCCAAAGAAGATTGTACTTCTTAATATCTTTTATTATAACAAATGTTTTTCATAGGCAGCAAACACAGTCGAGAACATGGTGACATTCGGTTAACACCTACATAAACAAGGTTTTCTCGCAATCACATACGACGCGACTTTACTTCCAAAAGAGTTTTAATAATGACGAATTGAATCTACAATCTTCTACTAAACAGAATTGCAACGGTAGCACTGAAGATGGCTGAATGATTAGCCGAAACGTTTGCTGCCTATGAGAAACATTTGTTATAATAAAAGATATTAAGAACTACAATCTTCTTTGGCTTGAGATCCTCCTGCTACTCCATCGATTTATTTAATCTTATTAATTTTTGTCTTTTTATCATATTATTTTTTTCTCATGAAAATTCGAATATGGCTAAAATTAGAAAGCTTTGATGGGTGAAAAATTTAACATATGGATCAGTGCGCTAAAAATAATGTCCAATCGATTGCAGGAATGGCTACAAACCGAGACAGAATTGACTAGAGAACGTGGTCTTTGGGGACCTCCGATACCCACTATACTCGACAAATGGATGTTAGACATGACTGAAGGACCGTGCAGAATGCGAAAGAAGATGATGAAGAACGAACTGTTTTACATACATTATCCGTATCGGCCTGAATTAGAGCATCCTGATAACGTGAGTCATAATCTCGTTAAGATTAAGAATTGTACAAACGTCCGTCTACATTTCCAGTTTATAATACATTTGTTATTGTTATTTGTTTAGAAACAACTAAAGTACAAAGTAGCGACGAGCATAGATAGCAAGGATTACTATCTAAAGCAACTCGGCAATTCATCGGGAATGTTTGAACGCGAGCGAGACCCCGTTATAGACGATACGCCGTTAAACGTTAACGAAACTTCCACCGAGAGTGAACCACCGATGGTTCCGTGCACACTGGAACGCCACGCCAGCGAGCCAGATGAAGCTCCCGACGATAACGAACAGGAAGAAGAGAATAATCAAACTGTTCCAGACAATCAAACTTTGTTACGTCTGCTTGAGGAGCATGAAAAGGTTTCTGTATAATCGATATCTATTGCGATTGCGTCAAAATCAACATTTTTTTAACACTTTCAATTATATTACAGATAAGTCATATGTTCAGATGCGCAAGGATACAAGGTCTGGACACAACCGAAGGTATTCTCTTATTCGGAAAGGAACATTTCTACGTAATCGACGGCTTTACACTGTCAAAGTCCAGAGAGATAAGAGACATAGAAAGTTTGCCGGAGACATACGAGCCAATCTTGCCATCGCCAGGATCTCCCAGAAGATCAAGAGCGATGAGGCAGTGCTCAAAGTTTAACTACGAGGATATCAGGTATATTTTCGATCATTTCTTTGCATGATGTTTGAGCAACAATGATAATATATTTGAATAATACTCAATACACTTTGTATTATTTTGTATACAGAGAAGTGCACAAGAGACGATACTTGCTGCAACCCATGGCGCTGGAAGTATTCAGCGGGGACGGTAGGAACTATTTGCTAGCATTTCCGCGAAAAGTGAGAAACAAGGTTTATCAAAGATTTATGACGTTCGCCACTGCAATCGCCGATAGTGCTCAGCAGTCCGTAGCCGGTCAAAGACGAACGGCGAATGTCGAGCAGGCTACGGGCTTGCTCTCGAATCTTATAGGGGAAACTTCAGTTACTCAAAGATGGGTGGTTAGTAGTTGCAATAATATGATACAGGATGAATAACCTATACTTTTTATTAAATATCGACATTTTCACGCACAGAGAGGAGAAATATCCAACTTTCAATATTTAATGCATCTGAATACGCTGGCGGGTCGTAGTTACAACGATCTTATGCAATACCCAATATTTCCGTGGATCTTAGCGGATTACGACAGCGAAGAGCTCGATCTTACGGATTCATCGACGTTTCGAGATTTCGGCAAACCCATGGGCGCGCAAAGCCCCGAGCGATTGTTGCAATTTAAGAAAAGGTATGGAAAGTACAGCGATATGATAGATTGCTCCGTAAAAAAATTTATTTCAAATAAAGTTATCGCTTTAAATTGCTTCAATTAGATGTATAAAAATTGTTTACAAATGAAAACATTTCTTGAAGTCAATTTAACGACTATTTTAGTTTTCCTAAAAATTTATCTGAAACCCTGCAATTTTGTCTTCAATCTTACGAACACGACACATCTTTTGCACCAAGCTACATGTATTGCGCAAGAAGCACGTGTCCTTCAAATGATTATTTCATTGTAGATACAAGGAATGGGATGATCCGCACGGAGAGACGCCTCCATATCACTACGGCACGCATTACTCGTCAGCAATGATAGTGTGCTCGTACCTGGTGAGAATGGAACCGTTCACGCAACATTTTCTCAGATTACAGGTTCGTATATGTCGGAAACGCAACAACTTATCTCTCATATTCTGTCCTAACATGTTTGACCATTGAAATTCTTTCCAGGGTGGGCATTTTGATTTAGCCGATAGAATGTTCAATAGCGTAAAGGAAGCATGGCTGTCCGCTTCCAAGCACAACATGGCAGATGTGAAGGAACTTATTCCGGAATTCTTTTATCTCCCGGAATTCCTTATCAATTCGAATCACTTTGATTTAGGTAAACTTATATATTATAAATATCTTATTTTTATCTCTTTTTGTTTCTTCATCACATGCGACATTCCCGTGCAGGCTCTAAACAAAGTGGCGTTCAACTCGGTGATATCGTTCTTCCACCTTGGGCGAAGCAGGATCCTCGTGAATTTATTCGTGTGCATCGGCTTGCATTAGAATGCGATTATGTATCACAGCATCTCCATCAGTGGATCGATTTGATATTCGGATGCAAGCAAAATGGTCCAGCGGCTGTTGAAGCTGTTAATGTATTTCATCATCTGTTCTACGAAGGCAACGTTGACATCTACAAGTCAGTTTGTATATAATTTCGCTCAATTATAATTACCAAGTCATGTCATTTATGTAGAATAAGTTTTTTTAATTATTAACAGAAGAAAGGATTACAAAAATCAAAGCATGCGGGGAGACGAGAGATTTTTTGCGCTTTGGTTTTTACAGCCCTTTTTCTGTTAACTTTGTTTTGTTGTAGCACTACATGTTACTATATTTTTCAATTATGTCTCAATTACAGCATTGATGATCCGTTGAAGAAGAACGCGACTATTGGTTTTATCAATAATTTCGGCCAAATACCTAAGCAGCTATTTAAGAAACCACATCCAGCGAAGAAAATGACGCAGAGGACCAGTGTTATAGATCCTGGGCCCATTACCCCGGGATTGAGTATCACTACGTCTGATAAATTGTTCTTCCACAATCTCGATAATTTAAAACCGTCGCTGCAACCAATCAAAGGTACGCATTTTTGCACCTCTGATTTTAACACATTCTCTCTGTTAAAAGCATATATATATTTTTTAAACATCCAATTAAAATTTAAATATTATTGACAGAACTGAAGGGCCCCGTTGGACAGATATTGCACGTTGATAAAGCCGTGTTAGCAGTGGAACAGAACAAGACGCTCATCCCTCCCTCTTACAACAAATATGTAGCATGGGGATTCGCCGATCATTCTCTCAGAATAGGAAACTACGACAGCGACAAAGCGATTTTTGTTGGCGAGGCTATGATGCAAAGCAGCGGGGAGATAGTGGCGTGCGTTTGTCCATCTTCCAAATTGATAGTTACTGCTGGCACCAGCTCTGTAAGTGTTTTATCTGACAGTTACAAACATCACACAACTTTGTACAGTTGTTTCCCAAAGTGGCAATTTTCATTTAGTTCGATTTATAAAAGACTTATTCAAAACTATCATTCTGTCTTCTATTTTTCTTTTATTTAGTGAGGTCTAATTAAACTAAATGTTATAGTATATCTATTTTAATTTTGCAATAAAGAGCACAGTTTTTATTTTACAGAGAATTATTTATTACTTACACTAAGAATAACAAAATTAGCTGTGCGTAGCAAAATAAAATTATATATGTAAAATAAAAAAGTCATAGATCAGTTACAGATTAGCTTACATTTCTCTTAGCTGCACGTCTGTGATGGACTGAAACTTTCTTAGGCCACGCGAAATATAATTGACCCGCAGTTATTTTACTTGTGACAATATCTCGAGACACTTAACTTCATTTGAGATTATCTCTTCTTCAACAAATCAAATCAAATGCGTATATTCGTAGGTTGTGACTGTTTGGGAATACGCCAAGCGGCAACTTTCTATAAAGCAATGCCTGTACGGACATACCGATGCAGTCACGTGTTTATCGTCCAGTCCCGCGTACAACGTCATCGTGTCCGGATCGCGGGATGGTACGGCGATCATATGGGACTTGTCCCGATGCTTGTTCGTGCGTCAGCTTAGAGGTCATGCAGGACCAGTGGCTGCAGTGGCCATAAATGAATTAACGGTATATTGTGTATTTATTATTTATACCTTTATAAAAAGTAACAAGATGCTTTATCGCAAAAATATTCACAGGGAGACATAGCTACGTGCGCAGCTACGTGGTTACACGTGTGGAGCATCAATGGGGAAGAATTGGCGAGCGTCAATACATGCGTTGGCCGTGCTGACAGAATGCAACAAATATTATGCGTCGCTTTCAGTCAGACTCACGAATGGGATTCTCAGAATGTTATCATGACCGGCTCCACTGATGGCGTTGCCCGTGTAAGATACAACGTTTATATCTTTTTCCAAAATCCTTGATTTTAACAGTCGATTTTAACATTTACCGAAACTTGAAAAATCTATCTACAATATGGTGACTGTGAGATAATTGTTTACAGATGTGGTCGATGGATTACGTGCAAGTACCTGCGGAAGAAGAAAAACCTGAAGAAATAGTGACTGCCAAAGAAAAGAACGAGAAACAGAGCTCGGAAGAAAATCAAACGGAAACGACGATGAAGAGAGTTCAGGAATTAGTCAAGCAAATGAGTATATCCGCTGAGGGATCAGGTAGGTTAAAATAATTGCTGCGCAAGCGTCAATAGATGCAATTTTTATCAACCTTCACCTTTGTTCCAAGGTATACTTGTGAAAAGTGGCTCTGAGAGTAGTCTCTCTGAAACGGAAAACGCCAAGGAAGCATCCAGACATCACGAGGAAAAAGAGGAGTGCTCCGATAACGAGTCGAGTAATGGTTCCAGTAATAAACCTTCACCACAAAACAATCATGCGTCTTTGGTCGTGCTACGTAGAAAAAGTCGTGGGAATCCGATGTTTCGGAAAAGCGAAGGCGGTGGACGTGCTGACAGCGAGGGCACACAAACTAGGTAATTCGATTTGTAATGAAACGAAAGACAGTGATTGCATCAATTCTTTCTTATAATGGCGAAAGTATTACATTATTTTATAATATATTGGACAGTGAGTCCACCAGCAATCCAGGAGATTCCGAAGGAGCATTGCGGGCTAGCAAAAGTGATACCAGTTTAACAGATAGTTTCGTTATGGTTACCGAAGCTGACACAAAGCCACGAAAGATCAATCCACAAAACATCCTGCGGGACGGCTTCAAGTGGCAAAGACAATTGGTATTCCGCAGTAAATTAACCATGCATACTGCCTACGATCGTAAGGACAATGCAGAACCGGCGTCTATTGCAGCTCTAGCAGTATCAAGGTATTTGTCAAGTACTCATACACTAGTGCAATTAAATTAATGCAAGAGATTTGTCGTATTCGTCAAATATAATTGAAAACAGAATTGTAGGTTTTAAATAAATTTTTATGAACTAAATTCTAAAAGTCACCATTGACTCCGACATATTTCTTTATTTAGAAACAAGTTTTTATATACCCGATTTATAAAAGCTCCGAGCTCTTGGAATGGCAATCGATAACTTTATTTAAAATAGATCTTCGCGGAGAAGTGACAAATCTTTTTATGCCAACCTAATATTATTTCAATCTATATTATTTATAAAACGATATTAAATATATTTTTGTGTTTCGATTCGTAGGGATCACAGAACAGTGTATGTGGGCGATACCCGTGGTCGAGTATTTTCATGGAGTGTATGCGAACAACCTGGACGCACAGTCGCTGATCACTGGTTGAAAGACGAAGGAGCAGATTCTTGCGTCGGTTGTGGCGTCAGATTCAATCTGTACGAAAGAAGGCATCATTGTCGCAACTGCGGACAAGTATTCTGCTCAAGGTAAGTCTTAGGAACTATAATTGTTTCAATGAGAAAAAAACGGTCTTTGTTGCATTGCGTGTTTAATTAACTTAACAAGTTAATTACTCCCCAAACAGATGCAGCCGATTCGAGTCCAAGATATCCAGGCTTGGTATCTTAAAACCGGTTAGAGTTTGTCAGGGTTGTTATTCGTCATTACGGTCTCAAAGTAACTCTACTGAGAGTAATACTTAATACGACAGTATGAAAACTTATCTAAATCGTTAAATTGTATGGAAAACTTTAGTGAGTTGTAAATAATTATGTATATCAACTAACATTTTTCGTTGAATTTTACATGAACAACTCAAGGTATGCGATTTGTTCCTTTCTGCGTGAAATTAAACGCGTAATTTATTACATCCTTTATGGATATATGAGTTAATACAGTCCTGATTTTATTCATATCTAGTAAGCAAGGGTTGTTGCATTTTTATTTTAATGACATTATTAATTAGCTTGATTGAAACAACAGCAAAGAATGATTGTCATAGATATTTGTTAGACTGTACATTCCTACCGATTGTGTTTTAAGTTAGGCATAGAATATTATTAATTTGCGAGAAACAATTCTAATATATATGAAAATATTAATTAATATTTAATAACTTTAGTCCCTTTTTTTATTATCGACAAGTCTATATTGCGCATATTAATTTTTTGCTATCTATATTTAAAATCAGATTATGTTGAAATTAAATTATGTTACCTATATGGTAAAGGGAACACAAAAGATGTACTTTCCAAATTTTTCTAATTGAATTTTTTATTAATATATGTCCTAATCAGCACAACAGTGCTTTAAACTGAAAAAAAACAATAACAAAAATTTTTAACCACTGTATTGTGGTAATATATTATCTTATATTATCATTGATCATAATATTTATACATTTTTTATTACATTTTAAGTACATATTCGTAAAATTATGTATATAAAATATCTGTGATTTTATTTTCCTATTTTAATTCAGCAGTGATCAATGGCTTTCATGATTATAAATATTAATTGATTATGTTACTATATATTGCTATTGTATTTAAATTATTAATCCCAGTATATCGAAGGTTTTGTGTAACGTTATACATCAAAACAAAATAGTTATAACTAAATTTTTATTTACATTTATTTAATTTATTAACAAAGAAAGAGAATTAAGATTTATATATGTGATTTTTTTATACATATAGATAAATGTCTATTTTTGTTTATTTTGTTTACAAATATAATATAATGACTCAACTTTTTATTTTATGTACATCTAATTTATCTCCATCATATTTTATAATTCTTAAACAGAATGCCAATTTGGAAAGTATCTGTTTCCGATATAATTGTACACTTTTTTTTTCTTTTATACAAATTATGCGTTTGACTTTTCTATTGCATATATAACTGCTATTTAAGAACTGTATTACAATTCAACAAAAAGTATATTATCGCAAAATGTACTCTCCTGATCTTTTATCCAAAGAGATTTAGAAATCATAACTTCATAATAGACAATACCGTATCTACGTAACATGTTATTATAAGATACTTAAAGAAAACGATAGAAAAACGTAATAAACTATAGATAAACTATAGGTAAAAAAATCACCAGCTAACGTCATTAGCAGTGACATAAATGTGGAATAATTGTTTATAAATTAATGTATTGTGATCCTTATGTATAGAACTAATTGTGGGATTGATTTCCAAGATGAATTAAAAGTCCCTGTATGAAAAATTCATAAAATTCATCTCGCAATAATTATAAATACAAATACTTTTACGTTTCTTATAATACAAAAAGCCAAATTAACGAGAGAAACATTTGAAAAATTTTACAAATTTCGAAGCCGACTCTAAGATCGATTGCGAAATTTATATTGTCACTCAAACAATCGACTCTACTATTTTTATTAATAATACATCTTCACTTCCTTAAAAGCACAAATTTTATAGAGGACATAAATTGAACTAAACAATACAATCACAAAATGTAGGCGGATGTATTTTGACCGGATTATTTTTAGCATTGTGTTCTATGTTAATATAATATAATATGTTAATATATATATATAAACTGATGTATATTATAAGCACACTGCTGTCGTCGAACAAGTGTACAAGAAAGACAAGAAAGTCGAAGTAGGCAATATAGATGACGATATGCGAGAGAATATTGGCAATCTATTGCATGCACACGACTCAGTGTTAGAGTCATTATCTATCATGCATAAAAATGTGTCTGTGTTATTGTGCATGTCAGTTTCACATTGTCAATTATTTACATTTTCATTTATAATAAAAAATTTCTTGAATTTTAACAATTGACTTGATTATGAGAAATGGGACAGTGTGTGATTTAATAACATATATTTTCTTCAACATAGTTAATATATGTTACTCTTCTTTGGAACAATTCATCAAGCCAATATTATTTTTTTTTTTTTTAAGTATATCAAAGAAATTGTAAACGTTCGGACAAGATAAATAATTAAATTGTGCTATACATAATTTTAATTATAAATCACAATGACATTACCATTAAATTTAAATAATTTCTAGTCATGCACACGAGTATGTAAGATGGATTTATTTTCAGCCGGCAGAATTTTATTTTATTATTTTATAATAAAATAATATTTATTTTTATTGTATAAATAGCAGAGTACACATTACTGAGTATCATATAGATTTTTGGATACAAAAATTTTTTGATAGTTTATTGTATAGTTTACCAGAAGAATATAAGAGTATAACGTTCTTAAAAACATTCTATATTGTACTGTTGTTATACTACAAGTCATTTGTAAATGTAATTTCGTAAATGCAATGTGGTTCAGCATTATTATACGCAAAAATTTATAATAATTTATTATATGCAAATTCTGAAGAAAAATAGCGTACTATCTTTATCGCTTAGTTTTTGAAGATACATTCTCTTCCTGCTTTTTTGACATGTTTTATACGCAATACATATACATAGTATAACAGCCGTACAATTCTTCCAATGGTATTTGTGCGATAAGAGATTATTTCGTTACGACATTTTATATTAGCAAATTATATTTTCACAGTATTTTTTTAAACGGCATATCAGAGGAAATTTTTATTAATGATGCAATGTCATTTTTTCATTCATACGATTACTATCCGCTAAGATGGATTTGATAGAATAATAAGAAAACTGTGCATTATATATACAGTTAGATTTTAAATTGTATATAAGTAGAAAAACACGGAGAGAAAAGCATCTTAATTAAAGATATTTATTGCTTAACAATGATAAGACAGATATTAGAGGGTAATATATAAATATATAAAATATTGTAATACCCCGGATGTGTGTGAATCTGCACGAGTGTGTTTATGCGCGTATTTGAATATACATTTGCCACCCCTGCGCATAGAATTATACATGTATACATGTACCAATCACATATTATATATATACATATATAAATATAATATGTAGTTAGAGCGATTTGTGCTGTTAGTTGATATTCGTATAATATTGTATAGTAGATTCTGATTGGTATAATTATATTGAATGGGCCAAAGTTGTAAGAAATCGTCTTTATTTAATGAGTGAAATATAATAATTTATCGAACATAGGATACTTGGTGATAAATTGCAAGACCACTTTCTTTAATGCTAGAGTTGTAATTTTTTTTGTGAATTGAAAAAAATTACATATTTTTATTAATAATAATAATCCGTTAACGCACTCTTCTTTGCGCATGTTATTTCTCTTTTTTTATTATAACAATCAGTGTACGCAATTAACGGAATAACACATATAAAACTGAATGTATATTAACACGAAAGTCAATTCGATATCTTGCCTTTTGATGGACTTTCCTCAAGAATGTAATATTTCTTCACTGAAGTTTTGGATATATATGGAAATTCTACAGAATTGGTGAATTTTTGTTTGTGTAGAATAGTGGTCAAGATAATACTTACTGGTTCAAGTGCCGTGACAGCAAAGAGAGACAAACAAATTCTAAAGACAAGAAATTATTGTATTTCATTAAGCCAAATAAGACCATAACGTATTATATAATTTACAAGATAAGTATATTCTAAATGTACGAAATAAAGTTATATTCAAAAAAACATAAATATATATATATATATATTCCGTTATACATTATTTTCAGAAAAACGGGATAAATAATAAATAAGAGATAAGAAAAATTTATGTTGGTTATTTCTTATTAAATAATAATATAATAATAATGATTGAATAATTTTAACATTAATTCTGTTAATAATGAATAGATAACAAAATAAATATTCGTTATGTATTTGTAAATTTTATAGGAGTAGATTTTGTATTCCGAACGTAACCATTAACGTACATATTGATTAATATTGCAACGCTGTTTACTCAACAGATGGCATTCGTAGTTTATTCAATAAATAACTGCGGTTAATTTTTTGCATTGATATTCTTTTGTAGACTGTAACTATATTCTTGATTGAAAAGCACATACTGTTATATTTTTTTAGGATTAATCGCTCCGTGTTTTTAAATGAATATTTTATCTTTATTATTTCTATTATTTTAAGTTTTTCGGAATCTTACATTGTTCATAAAAAAGTAACATTGTTAAAACTAATTTAATAAGATTATAGATAGATATTAAATTATGGCAATCATCGATTATACGATTGTCAGAATCGATTATAAAATTGACTATAAAATTTAACTAATAATTCGATTCAAGTATAAGGACTACTCACACACATTTATAATAACGCGTGCGAAATCTTAATGTGATATTTAGTTTAGGTAAAAAATTTATGGACAAATTTTTGTTTCTTTCACTAAATTGATTAAAGCAAAAGAAGAAAGGAAGGGAAAACGAGAGCAGACGACATATTTTGCGACTCCTTTCTTTTCGCTGCGGTGTCTGAAGCGCGATGATTAGATAAGGCTCCGGTTCATAGTACGTCCGAGAGATCTCATAAGAGACCGAGATGTTCGAGGTCCGGCCTCAGTTAAAATTGCTTGTGCTAACAGGCCATAAACGAGTAAATTGTTCAAGCAGCTTCTCTGCACTCTTTTGCCAGCAACATTTTCGATTGTGCATGTTGCATTCTTTCTTCCCTCCATTACATCCGACATATAATCTGGGATAATCTATTTGGCCGAAGTAATCGGCGCACCGATCTTCGAGGAAACTATTGCATGTCTCTCAGTTCTTTCTCCTCTTTCGCTGAGAAGAGAACCTGACAATTGTTAAAATCGAGGTATGAATCTTGGATACAAGGATTTCTACAGATCAACTGTACCTTTAAACTCGTAACAATCTTGGAGGGATTCCAGAACGGAAACGAAGATGCCCGCCTGCTCGAGCGAGAAGCTATTTTCCTCCAGTCCGCCGATGTCGCGGAGTAGCAGCGCATCACCGCCGCTACCCAGCTCACCGTTGTCCACGTCGCCGTCCCGGAAGTCGCCCGTATCGTCATCGAACGGATTCGTGTCGACGTCTAGCGTGCCGGAGAATCTCTACCGGGCGTCGTCAGGCTCGAGTATGCCAACGGTGATATTCACCCAAAGACGACAGCAGCTACAGCGGCAAGCGTCACAGCAGGCACAACGGGGCGTGCAAGTGACAAATCATAATGCCGAGCGCAATAGTGATTCTTTATTGTTGAGGATCCTGAGCTGGTACTTTGGACTGTTACTGAGTCTTCTTCGGAATGCTTTCAACGTGGTCGGTTACGCTATCTGGGCGCCCGCTCTGTGGGCGTCCGCCTGGGTCTGCCTGTTCTGGGTGATTCTACAACTGCCGCTCACCGCCCTCAAGTGGTTCATCACCATGCTGCACACCCCGGCATATGAAAGATCGCGCAACAAACGTTGCGTGCTCATCAGCGGCGGTAGCACGGTGCAGGCGGTACACCTCGCGCGGAACTTCTACAAGGCGGGCGCTCGGGTGGTGGTGTGCGAGCTCGACGGGCTGTTTGGCCTGGCCCGATTCTCCACCGCCTGCTCCAAGTTTTACACGATACCGCGACCTGGTCCGGGGAATGTCGTGGAGTATATCAAAGCGCTGGGCGACATCGTCCGGCGCGAGAGGGTGGCTTACTACATACCAGTGAGCGCCGCCAGCACTGCTTATTACGACGCTCTGGCGAAACCGCACTTGGAAATCATGGGCTGCGAGTGCTTTGTGCCCGACGCCGGTGAGGTAACCGCGCTGGACGATCCGTTCGAATTACTGCAACGCTGTCGCATGCTCGGCCTCATCACGCCGCAGCACTTTCTGCTGCGCTCGATGTCGGATCTGTCCGCGCTCTACGAGCAGAACACGTTCCGCGTCGGTAGGTACATGATGCTGGCCGCCGGCCCCGCCGGGATGCGCGACCGAGCCAAGGTCCCGTTACCGCCCACCATCCGGGAGTTCAGGAACCAGCAACTCGAAATTAGCGAGAGGCGACCGTGGGTGGTAATCCGCGATCCCGGCGGAAGTCATTTCATCACCTGCACCACGCTCAAGGAGTCCCGGATCGTGGCGAACGTGACGTGTCGCGTGGACGAAGATAGAGGACTCATCCCGGAAGAATGTCCCGAGGTGACCCAATGGCTAGAGCGATTCTTCGCCCGTTCCTTCGGTGCCCGAATCAATGGCCATGTGAGCTTTCGGCTAGCGGTATCGGAGGGCACGGACGAGCTGCTATCCATCGGCTGTCGGGTGGGCGTGAGCTTGCCCTACATCTGCCACACGGGAATACACCCGCGTCTAGTCTGGAAGCCTTGCAGGCACTTCTCGAGGCAGAACTCGGCCGTGCTAGGCACCCCAGATAGGCAGTTGCTGTCCGATGCCATGGCCGGCGCCTTGAAACGACCGGCCGACGAGACGGCGCCCCATCTGCTGGGCACAGTGTTGGACAAAAGGGAAGCTCTTTTCGTGTACTGGGACCCTTTGCCCTATTGCGCTTACTATCATTTGCAGCTACCCTTCAGACGTGTCGCGGGGGTCATCCGAGCGCAGCACAACCCACCACTAGCGGTAGTGCAATAATAAGGCGCTCTGACATAACTAATGCTCATTAATTAGCTCCTTCAATCTATGAACAAAGGAAAGGTTCTCCTCGTGCATTTCCCTTCGATGATCATTAAAGAAGCTCGATCGGGACATAATTTTATCTGGAACTCAACATTGATTCCTCAATAGTGCCTCCGAAAAGAGTAAGCGTACCAACGAGGAGATTCGAGGACAAATTCGTACTTAGTTTTGTGAGTAATTGTGTCGAGTGTGATATATTATTTATTGGAATATCAGCGCAGCATTCATTCCAGTCGCGCTCGAGTCTAATCGACAAAGAGCTACGTATTTCCACGTTACATCCTGCGACGTGTTATAAGAAGGACGAATGAGACGCTAACGACTGCAATATTTCACGCGTAGTGTGACAGAAAGAGAACAAGTGACAGAACGTATACGTATGTGTGTATATATATGCAAGTATGTTTATTTCATTTTCGACTCTTTATTAATTAACAATTAGTAATAAGATTAGTATCTCGTCGAAGAGAAGAGGAAAATGACGGAGGGACACGGGGATTGCACGATCGTGTCGGAACTAGGAAGTATCCGATAAAATATTATTCTTCGATTCAAGGAGAGACTCGAAAGACGATCATTCGCGAAATTATCGCGCTACCGGTGATTATGTTCGTTTGTGAATTTGAACGAAATCGAGAAAGAGAGTAAGTTAAAAAATAGGTGCAAAGGTCAAGTTCAACTGTATCGGTTAGAAAAAAACATACACATGTTACCATTGGATGCTGTTTTCGCCTCAGTTGGGGGAACCTACGAAGGAGTGCGACCGGATGGCACACGGATGAAAAAACACATGTGCAAATCGCGCTGCTATCAATACTGATTGAGCTAAACGGAGATTTCTGCGTTGCGTTAATATGTCCCTATCTCTTTGTAGACTGACAGAATGCGAAAGCCCGTTCAATCGTCTACAATAGTAGACGCACAACAAGAATTCGAGTTTTGCAGATACCAGTTAATTCCGATTACACGCACTTTGCTATATTTTATCATATCGATTACGAAAGCGATCGAGAGGAAGAACATGTTTCTAGGTGTGCTTGGAAGATTAGTCTCCGATTTAACCGATCTGATCAAGTCACCGTCAATCGATTGCAGAAGTCAATAAAGGATACTAGCGAATCATAAAATTGAAGAAATTTCATTCGAAATGACAATCATCGCTCATTTAAGCGATACCCATAGCATAATGAAAACTCATTAGTTATTATCCTAGAGAATCTGAAGAATATACTGAAAGATATCCTGGAGAATTTTTAATTTTTTATCTATCGTGCATTATCATTGAATCAAGATCGATTGCAATCCTCGTAGATGTATAAAGTGAAAGAATTTGTAGAATTGACAATATTATTTATAAGTTATTATTTGCAGATTATATTAACATATGGATACAAGATGCGAGAAAGAAGCTGGCGTTGTTTCGACATGTTAGCTATTCTATCATCAAGCCATATGTAATGTATATATGTATTTATAGTATTTCTTTATAAGAAGCTAAAATACGTCAGTTTATGTAAATTATGTATTTTAGAGTCATCAAATCTATTGCATTGATATTGCAATAAATTCCGTTTACGCAAATCACTTCTTTATTTTCCAGTGTTTTTTTTTAAATTATCTAAAATTTTGAAAAGGCTTTAAAAACCGAAAGCCAATATTTGCATAAATAAATGTCACCTATAATGCTTTAAAATACTATTCACCTCTGCATTGCCTTAAAGAAAAATTATAATTTTCTGTAAACTTAAAAATTGTGATATTAAAAATCTTTATTAAATCTCGTATAAAAGAGCAATGTCTACTATTGCTTGATTGTATCATCGATCAGACACGAATATTATGAAACTATTTACGATTCCAATCGGAAGCGCGAGTCTCGTTAAATAATTTCATAATAAGCACAATGCGCGTTTTGCACACACTGAGGACATCTCGCGAGGGAATTACGATTGGCTCGTGGAACTCTTAATCTCTCCGCGACGCGACGTACACGCGAAGCTGTAAATAATGCCCCGTTATAAATGGAAGAATGACCCACAGGGCAACTCATTTGCTCACGGACTTTGACAACTCGGGGTCGCCGATTTGTGGAACGAGAGAGAAGGAGAGGCATCAGCTCGCCGGTATTATCTGCCTCTCTTCTCCTTTTTTTCATCTCTCCTTCCCTTCCTTCTACTAGACACTCATTGCACTCAAATGCTTCTCGTCTCGAGGAGATAAATATCCGCGTCAACGCCATCGAATAATCAACTTAGCCGTTAAATTTAGTTAGTCGACATTGATTCGACTAGTATAATTGATCTCGAATTTTTATTATATATATCATGATCCCGTCGCATTTTTTTTAACAGCTAAATTAGAGATTAATAATCTTATTTAATGCCTAGCTTTTTATTTCAAATAATAAACAAATAATTTTACTTTACCCGATCTATGACTGAAAGAAGCAACATTGCACATTTGCAATTTTACTTCGCTCAACACATTCTGCACTTGATATAATTGAAATTATTGTGAGCGCACAACTGCTTAAAAAAACTAACATTTAATTTCAATAATTATTTAGAGGCCGATTGTCCAGCATAGGAAATAGAAACGTTCACAAGTTAATGGAAAAGTTTGAACTGATAAGACGCAATATGTGCAAAAACTGTCCGGTGATAATTTTATCGCCAATGATTTCGTCACGTGTCTTGACATCAAAAATCATGCTAGTTAGAGATGAAACCGCGTCAAGAGCGGCTCAGATACAAAGACAATATTTAAATCGGCGATAAATATTTTACAAGAAACATGAACAATGTAAAATAAAATTATTTTTAAAAGTACAAAGTATTGGTAAGAAACAGTTTTCTCTATCTAATGTGCGCCATTTACTTTCAAAGTGCTGTAAATCTTGACTTATCATCTTATCTAGGCAACATATTTGTGCAATGCAGACAGACTTATCGCATCTCGCAATTACTCCAATCTTACTCCTGTGTAAGTATAACGTTTAAATTAAGGAGAAATCATCGGAAAGTAAAAGCTTGACTAGATATTTCATATTTTACGCTGACATTTTCTAACATAACGAAGATATTTCGTCAAGTATTAACCTCCTGATAAGTTATTGACATTAATTTTAAAACAGTGAGAAGAAATGACAAGTTTTAATTGACTATTTTCATTAACTCCTTCAATACTTTGTCGCGTTTATATATGAGTTTTTTGAATTTAATACTCCTATAGTTTTTCAAACAGAAGACCGATTATAGTGGAATTATTCGATATATTTTACCGACAGTTTTTAATAAACGCGTGCAATATCGATAAGACAAAAATACAAGTGATAGTCATGACAGGTCTTTTTTTTCCTTTACTAAGATAGGGGCAAAAGTCAAAAATTCGGAAAATAAATATGTAACGCAACCTTATCATGCGATAATATTGAAATGCAGTTCCTTGACGACGGCTAGTAAAATAAATCGATACGCCGGTTCCTTTCCCTCATTTTTTACTCTCCCGCAGGAGAAACACGCGATAAAGACGTCTGTCTTTTTAGACTTACGCGAGCTTTCATTCACGCAGTTCACATAAGTTATGCTTCTGTTTGTTTCTACTTAAGATATATTCGCGGATGCTTGATTTAGATATATAAACAGAATTTATTCATAACTTTAACACATTTAATTGTTGTTTCTTAAAGGAAATTAGCAACATAAATTAACTTGTTATATTACGTAAATGTAAATTGTAAATCACTGTACATTTTTGTATTGTAAAGTCGGAAAGATTCGAAATCAAGTCTAAATCTCGACTACTAACGTTTCGATATAATAAGGATAGTTTTGATTAGTTCGCTGTAATGAAGCCCTAAGTAAAGTAAAGTAACCCTTAAAAACCGCTAATTTAGTTTAACGGCGTGAAACAAGAAGTAAAGCTATTTCTTTAGACACAAAACGTGCGCCGTATGGTTCCAGGCACGGTATTGTGAGAACCAATTCACCTGGCTGACATAGCGATGGCCTGCTTACTGCCAGCTTTACCGCTATTTGCCGGTGACGATATTTTATAATGCAATAAGCTTCTTTTTCCGTTCCCTTCTGGAGAGCTTTGTTTTTCGCACCGAATGAGACACTTGTTACTTCAGAGATACATTCTCTATCAGGATACAGACATCGGTATCACTTTTATGAGTAGTGCTCTGCACCAAAAAAATTTGGTAACTTTACAAATAAGATGTAAAAATAACATGATAAATCATGAAAATATAATAAATATAGTGCAAAATTTATTATATTATGTAAATTTGCAATATTTATTTAGCTCTTTCTATACTTTCGTTATTTATCATATAATTATTACATCTTATTTATGTAAATTTACCGAATTTTTTTGTAGTGTATCTTTGTTATATTTTGTGTAATTCTATGTAATAGAATTTATATAATATATAGAATTGTATTATTTAGAACACATAAACCAAAATCTTGTTCTGGCAAGTTTTTCTTATTTCCTAAAGATTACAGAGATTGCTAAATTATCGACGATAAGCAATTTGCGTTTAAAACCCTTTTCTTTTTTGCTTCTCATAAATTTCTTTCCTACACTAGGTTCTCATTTCCGACAGTAGACACCCTGAATTATTCCTACATATAAACTAATTGATGATCATCGTGGAACAAACAATTATATATTTTTAAGTATGATGTTTATACAATAAGATTAGTTTCATAATTAATCGCATTATTTATGTCGCGTTAAAATCTAAATAATAATTCAATAATTATTAGTTATAAGTTAATTATAAGTTCTTAATATTAGCGAAACAGCAGTGAATTGCATAGTCGCAGATCTATAATAGCTGAAGCTAATATTCTGCACAGTTTTACGAATTTATCGAGTAGATAAAGTTGCTTTTTATATAAACAGAAAAATATGTAAGGAGGTGCGATATATGCGTTGCAGAAATGACACTACCAGCGCGGGGTCAGGGTTGATTTTGTATGAGTCGGTTAATGATTATTTCGATCGCAGTATCGTCCTCAGTCGCATTCTTTAAAATTCAGTCAAAAATACTTCATACTGATAACAACAAATATTGCGAAACGTTACGTCCTTTGTTAGTCAATGATTTTCTTTTTTAGGTACCTATTTACGTGTTTGTGGGAAAACATTGTAACGCAATTTTCTCTACGATATATAAAGGTAATATCTCTCGTACAATGTTTCATAATTTTTTACAGATATACTGCATTTAAATTAAATATGGACGACAATTTGATAATTTATTTTAAAATTCTAAAAAAGTAATAAAAGATATTTCCGTAGAATACCCGCAGTACGCATCGAAAGTATCCAACTTTGTAATTGCAGTGCATTTGCGTGCTTACAATACTCGAACTTAATCATTTCGAAAGCACTTGTCACGGAAACCTCGATGCGCACACGTTCGATTTGGACGAGTATTGCGTAACAGAGAGAAGGCCCTCCCTGTCGATATTCGCTCTCTTTCGTCGAAACAACGCGGCCGTAGCAGGCGGTTGCGATGCCCGATACCACGGTTGTATCTAATCTCCCCAGAGGAACGCACATGCAACGCAACCGAGTAAATATTGTACCAGAAGGGGGTACTTTCGGTGTATCTTCGATGCACCAGCTATTAATACTGTTTGCCGGTTAGTGCTATCCGGAGCCCTCGGTCGCTCAACAATAAACGCCTTTCTCCGAAAGATCCGAGAAGATCACGCAGTGAAGAGAATATTCCTTTTATCTATTGATAACGAAAATAGCCACCCACTAATGATCCGTTTCTTGTGGCGCATCTCTGTCAGAGGAAATCGAAAACCGAGTGAAAGCATGCGATTTCGATCGCCGATGTTGCTGCTGCTTCTCTGCGCCGTTCCGCTCGCGATGACGCAGAGGATCGAGGAGTGTCAACAGAGTGCCAACGACGAATTGATCTGGGAGTATGACGTCAGGAGACCGCACCGAATCGGTGGTTATCAAGTGCGTTTGTTGGTCTTTGTTAATCTGAATTTTTTCGACGACGTCGAATTTTCACTTTCTATTATTATCTGTTGTTTCGACAACTGTGTGTCACGCACATATTCATGAATTCGTTTCTCGATTGTAACTAGGAAGTAGAAGCGGATTATGGTCCGACGAATGCGAGGATCACATGCATACGGTTCAACTCATTGTCCGACGAGGATAACGACGCGGTGTCGATCACTTCCGGCGGAATTGGATACAACTTCGTCAAACTGAAGTTCAAATCGAAATATTCGCGAGGTCTCCGCTATAGAGTCTTTGTTTATGGACAGCCCACCTTGAGAAGAAGTTCACTGCGACTACCTCGATGATTTTATCCATAAACCTTCCCATAACATTTCCACAAAATGTCTTCGTGCATCTCCGTATTTAATTCATTTTTAGATAGTTAATCTTTTTTTTATAGAATTTTAAAATATTTTCAGCAGTGAGAATATTTATTATTTTATTTAATTCAGCATGTTTCTATTCTACCTTATAAATTTTTTGTTTTACAGTGAGAAATGCAAACAAATTAAGTGAAAAGATGAAATGGTACACGCTTCTGCGTCGATATACACATATCGCTGTAGATACTTCTTGTTTTAAATCTCTGTTTTAAATCACTTAAATACATTCATAATTTACGTTGTCTCATTATACTTTGTGCGAGACAGCGTGTTGCACGAAATTTCGATTGACGTTGTCGTCCGCGCAATAAATTCGCGAATTTATCGCTGTTGTAATTTAGAACGTTCACCCTTCGCGTGTCCTGATAATATGGACAGAGAAATGGGAAGACTACGTGATGGAAAATAGAGAATTCTTTGGTAGCAAATTTGTCTTCTTCAATGTTATTCTTTAATGAAAGTGATAAAATATAAAAGTATCAATAATATAGTCCTAATTTGCTAGAATAAAATAATTATGCTTTCTTCACTTCACTTCAGTAATTAAGCAAATAAGGATTACATCTCACGCATGATAACGTAATAAATCTTTCTACATACGAAATTTCCATAGAAACTCCTGCTGATAATACAAACAAAAGGATAATAATTTCATTAATTAATTATTATTATTATATAGATAATAATTTTTTATATAAAAGAAACAAGTAAAAAATGCAAATTAACTTTTTCCGTAATTTTGCTCTTGAGAAAGTCAGTTTTAAAAATTAAAGAATTAACAATTCGTAATCGCGGTAACGACGAAATTAGTACGATTTGATGATCTGAACTCGAAGATTGAAGGAGTTTATCGTTACCGAATGTGGGCCAAATTCCGAAACCAGACTAACGTGACCGCAGCGATAAGCCTGCGTGTCAGATTCCACGTGGAAAGGCACGGGGGACCGTCGAATTGGAAAAGCATAATACGGGCGATCAAGGGGTACCATTCGCGGATTGCCTCCATCGATGAGTACGAAAGAAATATATTTTCCCTGCGTGCAGGAAATAATTACGCGGTCGAACATGCGAAACGATATCCGCCGTTCCTTCAGGCAATTACACGAAAAGAAAGTTTTTGATCGGCTAGCGAGCGAGCATGTCGAGCGGAATTCGAAAGGCGGCAGGATTTTTTGTTCATTATTTGCCGGGATACGCGAAGATAGTTTCGATATCTATTCCGTAAGCCTCGGGGAAATTGAATTCACTCTTGAGTAATATAAGTTTTATGAGTAGCATGCGATTAAATATTTAAATCTATTTTTTATTATGTCGATAATATGTAAATATACAATTCTATTATATAAATCAAACATAATATTTTTCGTAAGTTATATAAATTATTATTATATCAGTTAGTGTTAATTATGTGTACATTTTAGATTATAGATGTATTTTAGGTTATATAAATGCAAAAAATGACATATTTTCATAAAAGTGTATATTATAATTAAATATTATTAACACTTGAATCAAAGTTGTTGCAGTTTATGTATTCACCTAAAATTATTATCGTGTGTTTTGCTTACATTTTTAACAATTAAAAAATTTTTATAAGATATTTCAATGTCAAATGTTATACAAAAAATTATTGTTTAAATTTCAAAATTTTCTCAAGTTTCTTTACATGCGTATAATACGTTATACATAGTGTACTTATTTAAAAAACATTCAGATTATTACTTTTTACCATTCATTACCAGTCATTATACACAATGCCCGATATATACGAAATCTCAAACTTGTTTGAAATGTTCAAACATCCAATTAAAGTGCATGAAATGATATAACAGTTACATAATAATCGTGAAGTTAATACACAACCCAAATTAAACAAATTGATCCTAGTTTGAAAATCGTTTCACGTTATGCGGCGTAGCGAATGTTTGCATTTGCAAATATTGCCTGCCATCGCGGGGATGTGTGCTGGGACACCCTCGTGTAAAGCACTCCCTCGCCCCCGTTGACTTATGGCGCATAGGGAACGCGTCCGTGGGCGCTGCAGCACGCGATTCCGCCACCCCCGGGAATAAGCAGCGGGCAGAAGCGTCGCGACGCTGATGTCGACGGCGTTTTAGTAAAGACCGACCGTTCGTGGCGAACGCAAGCGACCGCACCCCCGGGCTATCGTCGGGCTGCGCCGTTGAGAAGCCCTGAGGAAACCGTATCGCCGCCAAACCATTCTCCTCCATCTCCAAGGATAATACTCGCATTTACCGGCCCTTACAGATAAGCTCTCGCCACGCCAATCCGAAGATCGGGACAAGCTTTAAAAATGCCGCGGGTGAGTTGTACTAATATCTTTTATTTATTTATTTATTTTGTTTTATTATTAAAATAATGATTCATGATTTATTTTATAAAATAAATGGATTTTTTTTATAAAATAAATAAAATGGATTATTAATTTATATTTCAATTATAGAAATAATATTGTGTAAAGATGGTTTTATTATGTGGTATTCAAAATGTATTATATGGTAAGATATTGTTAGATCAATAAATTTGACTAGTATTATCAAACAATTTATTCTAATAAGTTATATTAATTAAATGTTTTTACGAACGGAGCATTACGCATACACCTGTGACGCATAAATATCTTGAATATGATTCAAGAATACGAGTACTTAATCTTATATTCTATAATCTTAATCTTAAATTTTTGTATTTTCAATTAGATTTCTTAATTCAAAGACAAAACATCGATTCTCGATGTTTAATTGCGTATCACTGCTATTATCTCGTGATTGATCGACAAAATTTTCAAATAAGGAGTTAATTCCTCGAGCTTCAGCTAACACTCCCCCTCTCTCTCTCTCTCTCTCTC